ACCCCTAACCTATACTGGTACCTGACATATTTCTTCCCCAGGTGCAGGACCCTACACTTTTCCCTGTTGAACCTCATGAGGTTCTTCTTTGCCCAGCCCTCTAGCCTGTCCAAGTCTCGTTGGATGGCAGCACAGCCCTCCGGGGTGTCAGCCACTCCTCCCAGTTTGGTATCATCAGCAAACTTGCTGAGGATACACTCTGTCCCCTCGTCCAGGTCACTGATGAATATATTAAACAGCACGGGTCCAAGTATTGACCAGTTCTCCACCATTTGTGTGGTAACCCTGGTTGCAAGTACAAGCCATTGGGGAGAAAAGAAGTATCTCAATATATATCATTTCCTTACAGTGAAGGATCTGAATGGCTTTTCAAATCTGGCAGCAAGCACTAAGGCTTGAACTGCCATCATCAGTCAATTGCAAAATTATTTCTATATGGTTTTAATTAAGCAAAAATATTCTATGGTCTTTGAAGAATCTTTTTTTTTTTCTGTCATCATCATTTCTTAATACAGAAAGTCTGAGGCAAAACATGCTGTTATGGTTTGAGAAAACCCATAACAATTAATTGTCATTTAGACAATTATTCTATTGCCCGATGACCCCCTCACCCACTCAGAAAGGGGAATCGGGAAACACAAAGAAACACAAGGGTTGAAATATAAATAGATTTCATAGAATGAGACTAAATGATTAACAATAATACTAAAGAACCAGTATTAATCCCGATACTGATATAAGATGTACAAGAATTATACTCAGCCAATTCCATCAGCAGGAAGCTGTGCCCTCCCAGCAGGGACAGCAAATGGCAGACACTGTGAGCGCAACGGCTTCAGGAGGAAGGGAAGGCCTCAGGGGTCCAGCACTGGGACATGGAGTTGTCTGGACCTGTTTCCATCAAGGGAGAGAGAGCTACACAGCAAATTTTTCTAATTTATATTGAGTGTGATGTTCATGGTATGAAATAATCCTGTTGGCCAGCCTGGGTCAAATGCCCAGGCCTTGCTCCTCCTTGTCCCTGCACCTGGCAAGGCTCAAAAATACTAACGTTGAATCCCACAGAGCCTGGCTGGCTATAAAGTAAATATTTTCACAAATTCAGACACTACAGTCTTCTAAAAGTGCAATTTTCCCCAGCATTAAAAGAAAACTTAGTCCTGTGTCTCTCAACCCAGGACACGTGCCAAGGAGCTGTTGCTTTGGTGTGGCCTGCAGTAGCACATTACCACACTCTGCCATGGTCTTACTGCTATTACAGGGCAAAATAATTTAAAAACTGTACAATGTAGGGTGAAAAAGAAGGGCTTGATTTGGTGCCCGGTTAGAATCTTTCATATGCAAGTGACATTGGACTCTCTGGGCATGTACTACTGGTGGTGTGGCCAAGAAGGCCAATGGCATCCTGGGGTGCATCAAGAAGAGTATGGACAGTAGGCCGAGGGAGGTCATCCTGCCCCTCTACTCTGCCCTGGTGAGGCTGCATCTGGAGTACTGTGTCCAGTTCTGGGCTCCCCAGTTCAAGAAGGACAGGGAACTGCTGGAGGGGTTCTACAAAGGCCTACAAAGGAGGGGTTCTACATAGCCCTACAAAGGGCTATGAAGATGGTTAGGGGCCTGGAGCATCTCCCTTATGAGGAAAGGCTGAGGAACTTGGGTCTTTTTAGTCTGGAGAAGAGAAGACTGGGGGGGTGAATCTGATCAATGCTTATAAATACTTAATGGGAGGGTGTCAAGAGCCGGTCTTTTTTCAGTGGTGCCCAGTGATACGACAAGAGGAGACAGGCACAAACTTGAACATAGGAAGTTCCATCTAAACATGAGGAAGAACTTCTTTACTTTGAGGGTGGCAGAGCACTGGAACAGGCTGCCCAGAGAGGTGATGGAGTCTCCTTCTCTGGAGACATTCAAAACCCACCCGGACGTGTTCCTGTGCAACCTGCTCTAGATGGAGCTGCTTTGGCAGGGGGATTGGACTAGATGATGTCCAGAGGTCGCTTCCAACCCCATATCATTCTGTGATTCTGTGGTTCTGTATTGTTATTATGGTTAAAGTAAAGTAGCACTTTAGTGGTTCTTAATCAGGTACCAAAGCGCAGTTGGAACACAATTAAGAAATGTGATTGTCTCAAAGAGAAGAACTTACAGGCAGACTCTAGAAATGTAGTTGCAGAACCAAAGCTGCTTTTAGAATGGGGTGCAGATCAGAAGGGCAGAACTTGCTGGGAGATTGGTAAGTAGAAATTGCAGTATTTTTCTAAAAATCTCACAGACAGGCTGACTTTAAAACACATGATGCTAAGCTGTGTGATTTCTATCATTGCTTGGCAAAATGGGTGTGACTTCCTGATGGTAGTGGGCAAGTTACAAATATAACTTGCCAGCAGAGAAGCTCGATGTAGTTACTAGGTTGCATTGTCTCTATTTTACAGACTTGTGGGCTAAGCTACAGAGTTGAAAGAGATTTGCCTGTGGCCACAGAACTATTAATTTTTTGTTGTAATATCCTAAACAGGATTGATAGATTCCTTTATCATCTCTGCTGTTTTAATTTCTTAATTTTAAGTGAAATGAATAATAACTGACCAGGTTTAAGTATTTGTATTAAATGTCCTGAAGGTGAATGGTGGTGTAGTATATTACAGGGTTATAATGTAGCAGGTCCATTGTATCAGCCCTTGATCTTGTGACTGCGGCTAGCTGTGACTTGCTTTGTGAGTAGTTTTCACGGTGTCTAGGAGCTTTCACAATACGTGCCTTGCTTTTAGAATGGAAAAAGAAAAAGTAACTGTACTAAGTAAGTTATAAAGGATACCAAATTGAAATTTTTTGTTCCTGCACTGAATTTACCAAAACAAAGAATACTTAAAACAGTAAATGATTTTGCCAAAAACTATTATATATCACATTTAACCCTAAAAAGAGCTCCACAATGTCAGATGTCTCTGTCCTCATTAAGGTACTCTCCAAAAGCCAGGGTAAGTAAAACGCTTTGTAACTTCTCATCTGAACTGACAGTCATAGAAGTGAACTTCAAGTTTGTTCTGCCTTCACCCTGGACAGTGAAAGGAGAGGAAAACTTGAGTCGCTTTCACTTCTGTGAAGAGGTATCATTTTATAAGAAATTTTAGATGCTTTGCTGATGAGTACGTAGAAGCATAGGGTTGGATAAAGTTTCCTGAATTAAGTCTAATCTTAATGGTGGCATAATGCTCCTTTTATAAGGACATCGACTTTTTCCTTGGATAAACTAGCTTTCTTGGTTGCTATTATTCCAGTTAGGTTAGCTATTTGGTTAACTTCCTTTTGATCTTAAAGCTTTTTCACCTCTCTGGTGTTTGGCCCATGTCATGTATTTCTAGAGAGCAAATTGTAACCCATCTCAGCCTCCACTTTGCTGAGCTTAGCACTTTTTTGGGCTGCTCTGAGGAGACTGGCTTTTGATTGTCCTCATAAGCCTTTCTCTACACGTGTTACAGACTGAGATGAGCAGTATTTAGCTTGTTGTAGCCAGTGTTCCTGACTCAGTCTCAATGCTGCTGTTTGTAGTGACAAGAGCACATTGGCTGGTGCACCCTAATGCAGTATCTGCCCTTTTTGTGCATTGTCTGACATAGAGGTCTTCCTTCTTGTTGGCTTTTCTCAGGTGATAAACTCCCAATTTGTTGTGGAAGTTCTTCTTATTAGTGTGTAGTGTGTCATTTTGTCTTGGTGTTTTTTGACTTCATCTTATTTCTTTTACTTCAGACCTGGCTCTGCTTTGATAGTTGATAATATTAACTCACAGCACTGTAAATTGATGAATTGCATCTTAATTGCTGCATTGCAACTCTGAGCAGTTTGCTTTATGTATGAATTTTCCCTGTATTTAATGTTTTAAGGGAGGTTTTGCTTATGACTGATCAGAATATTTTGCTGTGAATTAAAGTTTTAGCTTTCTTAATCCTACTGTGTATGTTTATTTATTCACCCTGTCTATATATTTACTAGAGAACTATCTTCTCGATGTAGGAACCTGTTGCCTCGGCACAGTTTTGTGGTACCACTGTCAAAGATTTCTAACATTCCTAAGAAAGCTGTGGCCTTTTCAGGTTAAAGTTAACCTTCATATCTAGCTGCCTTAGTTTCCTGCCATGTGGATTGCGTATCTGTTTGACAAATGAAATTGGATAAGGATTCTGGACGAACTGATTTATGGGATAAAATGTCCTGGGAAATGACTTGATTATACTTCTTGAAGGGGGAAAAAAACATTAAGATGCCTATTGCTTACGTGTGATGAGTGATGTTGGTATGGCCAAGGGCACTATGTTCCGTGTCACAATAGAAGAGCTATGGGTGTTGGCAGCAAGAAATGAAACTCTTGAACCTCTCTGCTAGTCTGGACTGCAAGAAGTAAAAATTGCATAGGGGGCTAGGTTCAGTTGTTAGCATTTCTGTTTTATGGGGCATCCTCTTGGGGAAGTAGTTGCAGTGCCATGTGGTGACCCCAGCACTGACTGCAGCTGGAATAAACAGACAGGACAAGGTAGCCGAGTTGAGAAGCTGTGCTGGGAGAGAGCCTGAATGCTGCTGGTGACATGAAGTAGCTACTTTATCGAGCTTCTTATACTGTAACTGCATTGAGATTTTTACAGACTTAATAGAAAATTATTTTCATTAAATGCATTGTATTTTCATTAATGTAATAGAAGGGAGATACATATCACAGTCCTTAAGTGTAAAATGTTACAGTAACAGTACCTGATTCTGAAATTTCTCTTTTGGCTTTATTCTTGTGTTCTCTTTCCTCAGAACTGATCCACAGTCCAAATTCTGTTTCAAATGGTAAAGGAGCTGTTATAAAATATTAACGCTCTGCATTTTTTGCAGATTTTTAGTTATTTTTTTAAAGTGTTCCCGTATTTATTGCTTTCCCCAGAAATGTTTTTCCTGTACTACTAGCCTGTTTATTTGGATCCATTCAGTCAGAAACAGTTTGTCCTTTTTGTGTCTTTCAGGCTTTATTAAAAAAGAACTGGATGCACATGCCGAATTTCATCAGTGAAAGATGGAGTAAGGTAATATAATTTTAGTGATTGCTTCTATAATGTGTGATGATCTGTGGATACTGAATGCAAGGGTTCAAAGATTAAATAAATTAGAGGCAGACAAAGCAAAAGGAACTTCACCTTCAGAAATAATGAAGTGCTGATAAGATCCTACATTATGGTATTGGTGGCATGCTTCCCCTATGCTTTGTACTATGGCCAGAGGGTTTTTATTATCATTGGGTGTCTTGTTCCACAGAGGGTCAGGTAGGTCATTAGCTAGGGACAGTGTGATTTGCTCATCTTTGAACAAGTGATGTGTTTCTGGAAAAGTGTGAAATTTAAAGTACAGCCTATGCTGAAAGGCTGATATTTGTCACCTGTTTCCACCATAAAAACAAACTGGTACTGGTACTGTAAAGAACTGCTGGTTCTTTAATTTTCCTGCCTTGAACATCCTGGGCCAACAGAAATGGAGAAAAGCAGGTCTGCCTTTGTTGTAATTGAGTATTGCTGTAGCACAGAGCAATATCCTTTAGGCCGGGAACTGAATCCTGCTGGACACTTCACAAACATTTGTCAAGTATTTAGTTCTCTACAGTGAAAGAGCTACTTCATGTCCTGTGATGTGGCAGAGGGCAGAGGCTGATGGTCACATTACTAGGCCCTGAGAGATGAATGTGTGTCCTGGTGGGGTTCCTGTTAGCAGAAGACTGTTGTGAGAAGACTCTTCCCCACTTGTTTCCAAGCAAAGTTCAGTAATAGGACTCCTCTTCCTTCCTGTGGGTTGGAGCAGCTGTTCATGGGCCGTATCTTGGGGTGACCAGCTGCACCTGACTTCTGGGATTTCAGAGGGTAAGAGAAGTTGTAGCACACATGCTGGTGATGTGTGCGATATGGCCTTAACTGCAAGGCAGTATGAAGCAGATGCCAGTCAAATTGAGTCTTCTGGTAGAGGCAGGTTTTGCTGGTCTGGGAATAGGAGGCAGTGAGAGAGAAAACGTGCTGCTCACGGTCACATGTGACATGGTCGTGTGGGTAATCGTGCAGAAATTGAGGGGGAACCCTCAGTCTCCTTATCTCTGACGTAGTGCCCTCAGTGCCCTTTTACAGAGTTCTGGAAACAATGAATGTTGAAGTAGAGTCAGTAGTGAACAGTGGACTTCTCAGAGATGTTTTTCCCCAACTCCTACTAAGGGAGAACAAGCTCATTTGTAAGATCAAGCAGACAGAGTCAGCAAATGTGCTTTCTCATGCAGCATTTCTTTTCTCGTATCAGATGTGTGTCTTAATGCAGTCTGAGGATCAATTACTGAAAAGTCCTGAGAGGTGTGCTGCCGTGATTGTGCCTACATCTGATATTAAAACAAGTGCTTGATACAATGGACTGGGTTATTTAACTGGGGTGAAATGAAATACAGTGCACAACAGGATGCTCCGGGGGCTTATGTGTAATTTTTTCCTTTCACCATCTTGAACCATTCAATGAAGAATAACTTGGGAATCAGGCATGCACTTACGGATATTTCTCGATCCCAAGAAGGCAGAGATGAAGTTGCCAGGAGCAAATTAGTGTTGTCAGATCCTGTAGCTGGCTTTACTGTGACTTAAAAGGAATTGCAGTAATTCTAGTCATTCATACCATCTTTCTTTCTTCTATTAATCATTGTCTGCATTGGAAAGGATATGCCTGGGGCAATCCTGCATCTCCATCCAGTTCAGTGCTGCTTCTTGCTGAAGAAATTAAAAAAGAATTGTCATTCTTCCCCAAGACAGCTATGTCTTCTCCCCTGTGGGATCTGTGTCCACACTTTCAAATAAATCTGTAACAATAGAGGGGGAAAACAGCATTTGGGGAAAAACAGCATTTGGGGCTCCCCTACAGGGATAGCATATCGTCCTAATTAAGTGTTTCTCAAATATGGCCCTGGCCGTGCAATCAACTCCATATAGACAAATCCCACTACTCATTTGAAGCTTGGTGTTAGATTAGGTCTGAAGAGAAAATAGGAAAGAAAGAAAAGGGAATGCCACCCACTTTTGTTTGGCTGCTTACTTGGCATTTTGGTGCATATTTTCTTTCAACTGATTTTGATTTAGTGGCTTCTTCCTTAAGAGGCAAACTCAGTGTTGCATATGTAAAGCTCCACGTAGCTTTTTTTGATTGCAGCTCCTTAATGTGTGTGTATAAAATAGAGTTTATCTCCAGCGGCACCCTTTTTAAGTAGCAGCCCCTGCTTTCTCTTCAGTCAGTTCTCTGGGTGACTTCTCCAGAAAATGTGCCCTGCTAAAGCACATACTGGTATAGCTGATGAATGGATAAACTGCATGAGTGACTGATTAAGGAGAGGTAATTGCTATTAGCACAACAAACTGCTTTATGATTGTTGCTGTTAGTTTTTACTGCAAGTTTCCTGTCTGCTTTTACAGTTTGTTTTTTTACAAAAACCAGCGTTCACTAGTTTTTTCCTTCCCCTCTTGCTTTTCCCTTCTTGCCAGTTTGTAAGGTATATTAAAATGCAGAGCAGGCCATGTGTCAATGCATGGCTGTGTTAAATATGTGGTGATCCTGTTTCTTAGACCATCATGTTCATCATCCTCTTAGTGCTAGATTGATTGCACGCACCGTGCCGGGTTGGTATGTATAATTGCAGTAACTACATGTGTAGTTATTGCATAATGCGGAGCACTTGGCCTTTCGATAATATTCTGTATTCCGTTTAGTGTTTTTCTGACTCTGCTGATTCTAGTCTGCAGGGTTTACCGTGACTTTAGCAGCAAAGACAAAGATGAAGGACCGAGTTTGAATAATATCTTAAATGAAGACATAATCAGATGGAGTAGAACCTGAATGCAGGGAGAGGGACAGAAAGAAGGGTAAGAGGACATGATGGTGCATAGCTAAAGAGAACAGCTGTAGAGGACACAGAGTCAGGGAGAAGGCAGCAGCAGAATTTCAGCTGTTCTAACTGTCTGGAGATTACAATGATCTGTGGGTTATTACTTTGTTTCTTTTTTTACAAGTGTTTAACCTGCATTATGTTCTGCGCAAGCACAAAAGTAAATTAAGGGGATTTCTGGAATTAAATGCTACTCTTACATCAAGGCATTTAAAGTGTTAGGAACATTATCCTATCCAAGCTAACATTCAATTCAGTAACATACTCACTTTACTCCTGTGTTTGCATTTTAATTATGATGCTGTTACAGTGTTTAAATTACAAAATGTCCAGTACCTAATTGTTAATAATCTCAGCATTATCCTTGGGAGATACATAGATGAACTACCACAGAATCATTATGAGGCTTTTAGAAATAATTGTTTTACTAAAACATACTGGGAGGATTAACACTTGTACATCTGAACCGTCTAAACCAACCTTCAAAATCAGCTGCCTACCATCCTACTTTCATTCTTAGAAACTTTGGATATGGATCACTTCCTACTTCCAGTGGTATTTTTCATAGAGCTAGGAAGGTAAGATAGAAAGTGACCATGCAGGTCCTCAAGTCCAGACTTCCATACATCAAAAGGTCAGGACTGTGCAGTACAAACCCTTGCCAACTGTCTGTATGGTCTCTAAGGCTAGGTGGAATACAATAGCTTGAAGCACTGTAATAAAAGGCAAAAATCTGCAGTGGTAGTATGCCTCAGACTGGGGCATTGCTAGCCTGCTGGTCTCTGCAGACTAAACAGCAGAAAAGGCTTCTAGTTATTTTTAGCTTTAGTGCATGATTTTTCATAACTTTTGGGATGTCAGGGCAGATGGACTTTAAATACCTGAGGTGAAATTTTCAAATACGTGTCTTTAATCTGAACTCAGACATCTCTTAGATTAAAAGTCCTTTGTAGACACTGAGCACCTGAAGCCTTTCCCAGAATCACAGAATGATACAGGGTTGGAAGGGATCTCTGGAGATCATCTAGTCCAACCCCCCTGCCAAAGCAGGTCCACCTAGAGCAGGTTGCACAGGAACATGTCCAGGTGAGTTTTGAATGTCTCCAAAGACTCCACCACCTCGCCTCAGCACAACAACTTTTCCAGATGTAGCATGCTTGAGTGACCCAACAAATCAGGTGGTCTACATGAACGTATTCAACTGTTTGTGAATACAAAAAATTGCACTGAATGATGGGAATCTAAGGTACTGTCCGGCTCCTTTAAGAGGCTTGTATAACAGAAGCATCGCAGAGTCACACTATGATTTCCCATACCAAGTTAAACGAGGGCCCTAGCTATATGTTGCTGTATATCTTGTGGTTTTGGAGTCTTGGGATCTTTCAGGAAGTCTTGGGCATTTTACTTATCGTTTCACATAGCTTTTTGTAATATTAGAAGAAACATCTGGTTTTTTGCATCTCTCGTATTCTGAAAGCAGTCAGACTTTCTGGCTGTCAGAGTGACTTTTTAAGTTGCTGTATTGGGAATTGCCAAACTGAGAATTTCTTAAATGTACCTTTTATTTATGTGTAATTAAAATATGGATCCGTTACTAAGATTTTTTAGAGGATTTTTATTACTTGGTACTATTGGATGTTATATATCTAAGGAAATAAAAAATGCCATCTAGGCAACTTCAGGCTTGTTAATTTGACTTTAATAAACTTAGAAAAAATTTTGAAGGCATGAATAATTAAAGACACAGGAGTTGAGTGGAAAAAGGATGAAGCACGATCTATTTTGCTAAGATAGGTCATGTCAGACTGACCTAGTATTTTTTTTAATAAGAAAGTAGTTTTTCTAGAAAAAGAAAAAATGTGCTAGATCTGGTCTCTCTGGATTCTACTGAACCATTTAACATGGTGCTGCATCAAAATTACTGTTCAAGGTGGAGGAAGATTAGGTTAGTGTAAGAACTGTGTAAACTCACACAAAGAACTGGCACAAATAGAGACAACAGGAGGTAGATATATGAGATTAATTATTCTTTGAGAGTTGATTTGTTTAGTTTTCTTGAGGCTTTGTTGTTGTTCAGCTGATTTTGTTGTCATGCTGTATTGAAAATAGGCAATTGAAAATTGCTGATGG